CGCGGCGATGGAGGCCCTGCCCGAGCTCTGCTCCATCTTCCAGGGAGAGGTGCGAGGTGTTCCGGCCAGTGCCGTGCTGCTTTGGCTGCGGAGTTTGTTGTGTCTGTCACTGCTTCCTTCAGTGGTGGGCGGGTAGCTGGCAGCCCTGTTCCGCGTGTGTACGTGCCTGTGCGTAGCTATCTGTGCATTCAGGGTACGTGCATGTAGCTATGAACGTGTAGTAGCAGGGCCTGTTGCTGTAGGACAAGGGGTAATGGCTTTAAACCGAAAGAGGGCAGATTTAGACTGGATATAAGGAAGAAATTTTTTACAGTGAGGGTGGTGAAACCCTGGCACAGGTTGCTCAGAGAGGTGGGAGATGCACCATCCCTGGAAACATTCCAGGTCAGGCTGGATGGGGCTCTGAGCACCCTGAGCCAGCTGAAGATGTCCCTGCTCACTGCAGGGGGGTTGGGCTGGATGGCCTCTAAAGGCCCTTTCCCACCCAAAGCATTTGGTTATATAAAATGCGTATCTGAAGAACGGGAGCAGTTGGCTGACCATGCCTCCTCCAGGTTACCAAGCATTGCAGTGTCCAACCTGCCTCGAAATCTAAAACTGAAGGAGAGCAGGAGAAGCACGTACTTTCTGTGCATCTTCTAAGCTGTGGTTTGCAAGCAGGTGTTCTGTGAAGCGCTTTGCCTTAGGTGTTGTATTGATTTTCTTCACAGGTTGCTACAGTGACGGAATATGGGGCATTTATAAAAATTCCAGGCTGCAGGAAACAAGGTTTGTTTCTCTTCTTTTGTTCAGATGTAGTTTCATGTTGGTGTGTTCGAGCTGAGCAGTTGTCCTCGGAGTTAAAGGCTTACTAGCTTTCTAGAAAAGCTCAGAAGAGTTGTTGATTGTTTTCGTAACCTAGGAAGAAATTCAGGTTCATCGAAAGCATTTAGGACATGGTGGTGTGTTTGCATGAATACAGAGACTCGGAGAGCAGTTTGGTAACTTCAGGGTATTGTGGAGAATCGCTTTAAGGTATTGGACGAACTGTAGAAACTTTCTATAGTTAGTTTGCCCAACTGATTTCTTTCATGGCTGATATGAATGAGTTAATAAAAAAAAAACCTGGAGTGAAGCTAAGATAAATAAACTGGAAAGGCTGACTCAAAGCTCTGTCTATGTTTGTGGGAAACTTGCAGAGTCAAGCAACCTGATTTTACAAAAACAGCAGCTGACAGGGGGTGTTCTCCCCACAGATAGCCCCTTCCTTCTCCCCTCTCCTCGTGAAGTGCCCAGTCACTATAGTGCCAGTTCTAATAAAAGTTCTTGGACAGAAGCATGGCTGCTGGAGGAAGTCGCTTTGGACGCAGACAGGCCCTGCAACAGGAGCTTGAACAGCACGGCGTGTTTCTGTATTTGTCCTCCCTCATATAACCCCGCAGCCCACATGTCACCCCTGCAAGTTAAAAACATTTTTGGGGCTGTGTGACCTTGCAGGCGCAGGAGCTCAGGGCAGCCTTTGACTTTGCCAGCAAAGTGCTGTGTTGCTGGTGCGTGACCTGGGCGCGTTATCCTCTCGGCGTGGGGTGGCCTCAGCGGACTGGCAGGAGGGCAGAGGTGTGAGTGCCTGCTGCAGTGTTCAGGACGGGTGTCTGATAGTTTGAGTGCAAAGACATTGCTGTGGAGGCCTGCTTCTCTGAGTTGGTTTGGAGCGGATCTTCATGAGCTTTTATGTTGGATTACTGCAGCTAGCTGATTCTCACCGCCGTAACGTGCTGGAGGAAAGAGATGGTCGGTTTTGCTTAGGGCAAACCCTGAATATGTTCCCTGTCTCCCAGAGCAGAGGTCTGCAGACGGTTTTGATTGTGCACCCCCAGTGCACGAGCAGTGAAAATCAGTTAAAATTAGTGATTAAAAAATTTTTGAGCACCCCCAATATACACATATTTATATATAAATTATATACATGTACTGCTGTACTAATCATATGTACATTATAAAGCATACTCAAAAAAGAGAAATTGAAAAAGGATGAGCTAAATATCAAATAAGCACTATTAGTTTTTTTTATTTATTCATGGTACAAAAATCTTTTCTTCCCGTACCTCAAAGGATTGTACCGCATCCCCCCTACTTCAGAGACTGCTGTCTAGAGGGCAAAACTGAGATTCAGTGGTGACTTGTCTTTATTTTTTTCCCTTTCTTCTCTTCCAAAACTGTGACCAGGCCTTGTCCATAAGACTCACATGTCCTCCTGCCGTGTGGATAAACCCTCAGAGATAGTAGATGTTGGGGACAAAGTATGGGTGAAGCTTATCGGAAAAGAGGTAATGTTAATTTTTATCTCTTTAGTGCTGTGTAGATCAAATATACTGAAAAACACTGAGAACATCGGCGCACAGAGGCTGTGTGTTCTATCGTGATGTTGGGGTTTCATGGCCTCTGTTGGGTGAATTCCCTTTACCTCCAGATGTGACTTTGGACACAGCGCTGCTGTGACTTGCAACGGGGCAGTCCAGATAAAGGGACTTGAGAAAAGCTTTTGCCTGAAAAACAGCAGAACGCTTCCCGCTCTTCCCCTGCGCACCCCTTCGCAGCTTGTGTCCCCTTAGCTGTGTGGGGTGGTGGCTGAATGAGACCCGAAGAGGATGCCAAGATAAGAGCTGGCGTGTAAACACAGTTCTTTAACTGTTTTGAGCGACAGGCCCGTTCTTGGAAGAAGCTGAGATTTTTGTTTGTTTATTTCCGGGAAAGTATCAGTGGCAGTGAATTATTTCCAAGAGAGAATACATACATTGCTTTTTCTGCAGAAGATGTGACAGTAGGCTTTGTTGGGATCAAGGTGGAAGCATTCAGTTCGAAGTTGCACAGGATTTGGCCGTAAATGCTTTGCAGTTTTTTTTTGAAAGAAGATAATCGGGTTGATGTGCAAAACAAGGACTTAATTTTGTGTGAGGTAAGGGAAATGGGTTGAGAAACTTGGTTGTATTTACACAGTGTAGAAAAACGATATGAAGGACTTCACAGATTCTTTTTAGCCATCTGTGGTGTGCTTTTTAAAATTTTTTAATTTTTTTTGTTTTGTTTGTATGAGTTTCTATTAAGCCACTGTTTTCTTTATCTGGAACACAGTCATTGGGTTCCTGGCTGCTTTGCTGTAGAGGCAAGGGGCAGAAGTGTGTTGGAGAGATGGACAGCAGAGGAGTTTATTGTTAGGTTGTCTGCAAATAACTGGATGGATGTCATGTACAGGCAAAACAGAAATACCTTCAATAGCCGCATGGGTGAAAAAGCAGAAGGATGCAAGAAAGGTGTAAAAAAAACAAACCAAAATGAAAAAAACCAACCCCATAAAAACACCAAAAAAACCCCCAAACATACAACTTCTGCTCTTGCATCTAAAGTGATAATGTGGCAATCAAGGAGTTACTGGGATTCAGAGAAGAGTAAGCCCCTAATAGAGATACTTAAAACATTTTTAGTCTCCGAAGAGGATCGAAATGGGAAAAAGAATATAAAGCTCTATTTTTCAGGGTTCAAGTCAGCCAAAGTACAGGTGCAGGCAGAACTGCCTGGGGAGTGGATGATTTGAGAATTACAGCAAAGCTTCCAAACGTGCGCTTTCTTCTGCAGCTCTTGGGTTAGGTCGTGTTGAAAGCAGAATGTTGATCTGAACAGACCTGTAGTTGTATCTTGTCTTATTACTGAGACAGCTGCTTAACAGAAGCTGTTATATTAGCTAGAATACTTTAAACACAGCTACAAACAAACACGGCTACAAACTAGTGAAACAAAAACACTTTCATGCCATCTCCCTTGTGGTGCTGCTGTTTGCTAACCAATGATTTCCTTCCTATTCTGCAGGCCTCCAGACACAGGGTGTTGGTTAACGTTGTTGTCATTTACTCTTCCTGTTACATATCTTCCTCTTTCAGATGAAAGATGACAAACTGAAGCTTTCCCTCTCCATGAAGGTTGTTAACCAAGGCACGGGAAAAGACCTCGATCCAAACAATGTTTCCCTTGAGTAGGTAAATCTACTGAGCAGAGTATGACAGATAGACGGGTTGCTACCACCTGCTTTTCCCTGCCGTGCCTTCCTGGCTTTCCTGCCACGCTCGTTCTCTAGGCCCCCCCTCCTCTGGAGGGCAAGGGACCTCTCGGAGCCCCCCAGTGACGCGCTGGCTGGCTGCAGGGCTGACTGAAGGCACGCCCTTGGCTACGCTGGTGGAGGCTGCTGGGAGCTCCAGCCCTTCACACCGCGGCAGGATTTTCATTCCTGCATTGGGATGGCCGGGCGCTTGTGCTGGAAGGGCTGTTCATTCCAGCTGGGGAGCTGTCTTGCTTACACATACTACGAAATCAAATGGTAACTGCTCGGGTGTTTCAGAGCTTCCTTGTCTGCCTTACCTTGCGACATCCCTTGCAGGTCAAATAAAATTGCTTTATTTTCACACTGCACAGCTACGTGTGTGTGTATTCGCATACATAATACAGAGGTTAGCATAAAGCTGTGACCACAGCTCCCTGCGTCTGTCTGCTTTGTGTAGAGAGTGCTCGGTGAACGTCAAAAATAGATGATGACAGGTAGTACACTGCTAACAGTGTGGTTTGTTCTAATGCGCAGTTGGTCAGCTCTCCTCTTTGGATTAGCCAAGTGGTGCTTTTAGAGCAACATTTGAAATAACTTCTGTTTAGATCCTGTCCATGTAAATATGCTAGGATAAAGATGAGTGGATTGAAAATGGAACTGTCCTTGTCTTTCCAGTCAAGATGAGCGGAAGAAACGCACGTTCAGAGACTATACCAGTCAGAAGATCACGCTTGAGGCTGTCTTGAACACTGTGTGCAAGAAATGCGGTTGCAAAGGTTGGTTTGTGCAGCGTTGTCTTAGTCTTTTGGTGTAGCCTTGTTCTAACTAGGTAGTGATAGGATTATAATGACATACCTTGTCTATCACCTGTTACGAAAAGGAAAGATGTAGCTGAACTCAGAATCACAGAATGGTAGGAGTTGGATCATCCAGTCCAACTCCCTGCCGAAGCAGGGTCACCCAGAGCAGGCTGCACA